AATATACGTGTTTTAAAAGAGTTTTCCAGAAAAACTCACCGGTTTTACACTAAATAAAAGTATTCTAATATTTCCAGAGTAGTTTCACTTGCCAAATTCGAGTTTCGAAAAATCCCTTATCGAACCTCTACACACTTCTAAAAGTCAATCCGTTTTTCAAAATCAACTTTTTACGTCAAGGGCTTTTAAGCAGGATCGTGATTAATCAATGACCAAGATTTTTTAAAACACCCTGTATACATTTTTAAAATCTTAAAATATTATTCCACGAAGGTACAGAATGAAATATTAAATACCTAAATGTTAAGGCTTAAAGAAGTAGAGTAAATTGCTGAACACAGCGCCATGTCTCTCGACCTCCGTCCGTTATGCTCGTAGCAGGTTGAAAAACAATATGTATCTAAAATAACTGATGGCGTTATTCCCCAAACTGTTTCGAACCTCCATCGACAATCGACCGATGCAGCAGCGTTCCTTTCCCACTCTGATTATCTTGACCGCCGCCCTGTTATGCTCGCAACGGGTTGAAACTGTAACATATCTAAAATGACTGCTCCAGCCAGTTTGCGAGGCTAAAATGAGTGCTTCTCCAATCCATCGACAATCGACCGATGCAGCAGCGTTCCCACTCCTGTTATCTCCACCGCCAAGCGTTGTACTTTTGGCTGTTTCAAAGAGCCTTAAGCACAACATATCCTATTATTTTTTAAACGGTAAAATGCGACCATCGGTATCGACAGAAGCAGCTACGTTCGCCGTAGCACCGTTGTCCGTTGTCTCGCCGCCTGTATTATCGATGGTTGACGAAATAACATGTTCTCCATCCATACTAGTTGTTTTCAGGTGCTTCCGAGGCAGCATAGAGATTTCATTAATTGGTGATGCAGGCGCCGACTTCGTTTTTCGTTTCACGAGCGGCCGATCTCTACGTGTCGTTATTTTATATCTGTTATTTTTTAGAAGTAGTAACGGTTGCGTTATGTTATTTATAAATAATTGTTATAAAATAACAGATAGTTAAATAACAACCCATCACTAATATGATTGATGACGTGCGTCGGAAAATGTTTTGGATTATACATTGTAATTATCGCTCTGAATCGAGATTATTACGAATAGACTTTTTCTTCGGAAACTGGTGGTGGGCTAGGAAATCTCCGGCCTTTGTCGCTATGAATTAAGCCAGAGGAAAATAAAAATGAGGGCTTATATCGTGTCGTGTTACGCTCCGATGAGATCGTCGGCCTGATGGTGAAAAAGCATATCCCTCTCTCTCTCTGTCGGTTTATAAGGGATTTAGGTAACGTGGATGACAAATGTTCCCAGTTATTGTTAGTATAATATATATTTTTTCCGGCGAAGTTATTCAGGGCGATGCCGGAAGTGGGTTTTATTGGTGAAATCCTAAAGAAATAAATATATACAATTGAACCAGAAAGTCTGGTAAATATGTTCTTTTGAAGATAAACAGTTATTAATATACAGGGTGTCAAAAAATAGTGTATCTAAGTTCGGTGGGTAATTCTACAGATAAAAATAAAATAAAAAGTTTCTAGGAACGTATGCCCTAAAAAGCCCTCGAAATGGCTGTAAATTCTTCGGGAAGCATAAGTTAAATAAAAATAATATATTTTGTTTATTTGCATTGGTATACCGTTTTTCTTGAAATTTACTACTCTACAGTTGATGTAAATAATAACTGTTTATATACAGGCTTGTTCACCACATACGACACGGAGTATTGTAGCTAAACGATGAGATTTTTACAAATTGTAAGTTTTGGATTCATTGAAAGACTATTAGAGCTACAATTTAAAAATATTTTTACAAGATACAGAATGTCCCAAATAAATAAAAAATATCAAAGTTGTATTTTTTTAAACGGAACACCCTGTGTATTAATACATTTTTAGTTTCTACGATTAAAATAAAGGTAAATTTGATTAAGGTTTATTACACTTAAACCTTACCGTTTTTGAAATATTTTCAATTTTGCGAAATTGCAGTATAAATTTTAACGCTTCATTTCTCTGAGAATATCAAAGTTTTTAATACTAAATATTTACTGAAGTTTATTTATTGATCAGTTATTGTGTTGCAATAATAAAAATTATACTACCTTATACAGAGTGTCTAAAAATCTATTTTAAATAATTACTAGCTTTAAACGGCAATAACTTATTTAATTTAAATAGTACACCCTGTATATTTTATGAGAATCAGATGCACAATTTAATTGTCTATCAAATTGTATTATACCACTTCTTACCTATTCCTTCAAGTTTTCGTAGAAAATGCATTTTCTTATAATTTAGACCTCATTTATCAATATACCCATGGAATATTGACATTTTAGATTGTTTTTAAAACAACAAAATGTACAGGCTAGTAATATTATCGCTTTTAGTAAAACGATAATATTACTAGCCCATTTGTATGCAAAAAGAAAACTATTTAAATCTTTATAAAAGTGTATACCATTAATTAAATATACCACCAGTATTTCCGCCCAAATACTAATTAACTACATACTTGTGTTCGTTAATAAATTATTCTAAATAAATGTGGATTTGAATCAGAAATCAATATAATAATAAGTTATGAAAATGAACGTCTCTGTTGTTATAAGTAAGCATTTGTCAAAAAATTAAATATCATTTTTAAGGTGTTACTTTTTACCACATTGTCTAATACACATACATAATTCAGTTTTTTAGTATTTGAAGCAATTATTATTAATCAACGCAAACAGTCAATTAATGTAGTTTGAATACTGGAATCATATGAACTGGTCCTCTTTAACAAATATTTAAACCGTTTTTTTTTTATTTTTTAATGAAATCGTTAAAAATTTGGTACATCTTTAAAAATAATCTAAAATGTCAGTATTCCATGGGTATATTGATAAATGAGTTCTAAATTACAAGAAAATGCATTTTCTACGGAAACTTGAAGAGATAGGTAAAAAAATTTTTTGATAGACAATTAAATTGTGCATCTGATGCCCATAAAATATACAGGGTGTTCCATTTAAATTAAACAAGTTATTGCCGTTGAAATCTAGTAATTATTTAAAATAAATTTTTAGACACTTTGTATAAGGTAGTAAATTTGTTATTATTGCAACACAATAACTGATCAACTGATCAATAAATAAATTTCAATAAATATTTAGTATTAAAAACTTTGATACCCTCGGAGAAATGAAGTCTTAAAATTTATACTGCAATTTCACAAAATTGAAAATATTTCAAAAACGGTAAGGTTTAAGTGTAATAAACCTTAATCAAATTTACCTTTATTTTAATCGTAGAAATTAAAAATGTAATAATATACAAGGTGTTCCGTTTAAAAAAATATAACTTTGATATTTTTTATTTATTTGGGACACTCTGTATCTTAAAGTAAAAATATTTATTTTTATATTGTAGCTATAATAGTCCTTCATCAAACCCAAAACTTACAATTTGTAAAAATCTCATCGTTTCGCTACAATACTCCGTGTCGTATCTGGTGAACAACCCTGTATACTTTAAAAAATGATACATCATTGAAAATAAAATGTTAAGCTGCGAACGCCTGTAGAGACGAGATCAGGTACACGCACTCTTTAAAGACAAGGAAAATTAAATTTTCCACATAAATACACTTCACTTCGAATATCGCAAACATACGTGGCATTTGCCAGATCCAATTTTCCTTGTTTTCACATAGAACCGCTCGAAAACACAACGACACGTGCGGAAATTACCTTTCGGAGACGAATTACCATCAAAAAGCGACTTCCGTATTTACTGCATTACCTCGTGCAAGTGAAAACTTGCCTGGCGCTGCGGGCGAGCTAACGAACATTTTCCGGTGCGGAAAACTCGGAAAATAAGATTATAAAAGCTATTGTCGCAGAGCCCAAGCGATTCTATTAGTCGTCGTTTCAATTTTATGTTAAAGTAAGACCCCTCGATGCTAAAAGTCCGCTTTTTTGGTTTTCCGGTACTTAACAGTCTTTGTTTTGTTACATTTTCTTTATGGTTTGCCTAATCCATTTATCAACCGGTCGAAAATAAAATATTTAAACTTCCAATTTGGGAATTTTAAACAGATATTACCAGAATTGCTTAAGAGTCCATTTCATTAGTCCGAAAAAGTAGCAATATAAGCCTTTGACGTTTTATGTAAAACTGACTAGGTATTTTTACACAAATGAAGAAGGAAATTAAATATAAAGAATTATACTCTATCCGTATTGTAGCACATTTTTAGACAACTTCTTTATTTTTAAGATTTTGATGGTCAAAGATCAACAAAATATTCCTTATTTTTGGACTAAATTTTCTCGAAAATAAAGACATAATTATTAATTCCGTTACAATACGGAAATAGATTGAAGTTTTCTGTTTACAGTGATATATAATTTATATGGTTTTGTAACAAATTGCTTGCTGTTCTATTGCAAATACTGAAGCTCGCTGTAAACCTTAATCAAAGCACATGTGTTTAGAATTTTGGGTGTGGCTTAACACGACAGGATCGGGCTAAACCTTAGGCAGATTTCTGAAATATAATATATATTTCCTTCGGCCCCACACCTGCTAAAACTGGCTAGTTATTTTTACCCAAATGAAGAAGGAAATTAAAAGTAAAGGATTATACTATATCCGTATATTTTTCAATTATGAAAATTACGATTAATTTATAAAATTAGATAAATTATACTGTAGATTGACTTGAAATTTGATCACAAGTTGACCACAAGCTTAATATAATCTCTTTTTCAATATTTGATAATGTCATTGACGTACCTTCAGAGTCTGCGTAAAAACATAAAAAATGAGCGTTAAATAAATAAATATGGGTAATTACGCAAACATTATTTAGGAATTAAATAAACAGAAGTTAAATGGCATGATATAAAATATAATATGTATAAGTCGGCAGGCTGGATATGGAATAGGTTGTAACGTAATTTAGTATATCCTATATATTTTAAATTGTATTTTCAGGTATATCAGGGTTACAAGGAAGGTATTGAAGACAGTGCCCTAGTACTCTTACAAACGTTCATGGGCTTCGCTTCTGCCCTAGGCTGTGTCGGTTTTGGTCTGATCACTGTCAGACCTAGTTCCCAATGTCTGATCTCGAGGCAGTACCTCTGCCAGACAGCATTAATAGGAATAGGTAAGTACATTAAAAAAATCCTTAAATATAAAAACAAATACAACAATAACTATAGGAATATACTGCTCATAAAATAAGGTATTACAAAACTTTGCTTTTTATCTCTCTTCAGTCCTGACCCCCATTAGGGAGCGTAGTGGTCAGCGTAACATCATGGATGATATTTCTCCATGCGCCTCTGTCTTTTGTCATCTCGATGACATCATGCATTGGCTTGCTACAGCTAGTCGTGATCTGGTCTATCTATCGAGTTGGAGAGAGGCCACGTGGTCTACGTCCCTCCACCTTGCCTTGAATTATGAGTCTTTCCATATTGTCCGGACTTTTCTTCATTATATGTCCAAAATATTTTAGTTGTTTTAGTCGGATTTTACAGGAAAGCCTGTTAGTAATATTAAGTTCATTTATAATGGAAACGTTTGTACGGCGTTCAGTCCTTTATCTATTTAGTGCTTTATTATTATTATTATTAAAAACTCATACCTACATCGAAAATATTAGCCATTAAGTTCATTTATAAGAAACGTTTATACGGCGTTCACTCCATGGGATACGGAGCATACGTCTATAACAATACATCTCGGTAACATCGATCTTCTTACGTTCCGCCTGCCTGAGAGTCCACGATTCGCAGCCATACTTCAATATTGGGAGTACCGAACAATTGACTAGCCGGTTTTTGATGGCTTTTGCAATCTGGCGGTCTTTCCAGATCTTGGTCAGTCTCCCAACAGCTACCTTTGCCATGTTGCACCTACGCTTCACCTCTTCTTCCGATGTGCCGGTATTTGTCAATAGTGATCCCAAGTATACGTATGACATACTTCAAAGTGGTCGATATGACTTTTATTTGGATGGTTGTTATGTTTCCTATCAACTATCATGATTTTGGTTTTTTGTGTATTTAGTTCCAGAGCGAGCCGATTGCTTTCATTTTCTACCTTATTTACTAAATTGATTAACTCTTCTTGAATGCTAGAGAGTAGTGCTGTATCATCTGCAAAGCGTAGATGATTTATTTTTTGGCCATTTATTGAAACGCCTCCTTCCTATGTTTCTAGCGACCTTCTCATGATGTATTCTCCGTATATGTTAATTAGTTGAGGAGACAATAATATACACCCCTGTCTGACTCCTTGTTCAAGGGAAAATTCCTTTGAAGCTGAATCCAGTATTCTAACTGATCCTGTAGTGTGCTGATACAAATCGGATGATAAGTGAAAAAAGGTGTTGCGGTACCCCCATTTCCTTTAAGATTTTCCACAGGTGATGCCATCTGACTTTATCAAAACCTTTTTTTATAGTCTACGAAACAAATATAAAGAGAGACTTCCCTTGCTTTCTCTACGATTTGGCGCATATTCAGAATATGTTCTCGAGTGCCCCTGCCCTTGGTGAAACCTGCTTGTTCTGCTGGAATTTTTCTTTCTAGAAATGTTTTCAGTCTTTCATTTATAATTTGCAACATTACTTTACAGGCATGTGAGATGGGGAAATTGTACGATAGTTGCTGCACTTATGTATGCTCCCTTTCTTGTGGAGAGTGAAGAGTGTCATGGTGGAGTGTGTCCAGTCGTCGGGCCATTCTCCTGTGTGCCATATTTTATTACAGATCAGATGAAGCATTTCTAATCCAGGTTCTTTAACGGCTTTTATTATTTCTGCTGTCATTAGGTCTGAACCTGGTGCTTTATGGTATTTTAATTTCTTTATGGCCAATTCAACTTCACTTTAAGGATGTCCGGTTCTTTCTCTGAATTTTCGTGGTGGTCGACATAGTTATATTCTTCACTGTCTTTGTATAAATCTTCGCAATATGATCTCCACACCTCAATAATGTATTCTTTTTTGGTTCTTAAAGTTCCATTTTGATCTTCGATTGCCCAATTTCTGGCTTTAAGGTCCCTGGTAATATATTTTATTTTTTTGAAGAGGTCTCTTGGTTGGTTATTTAGAATGTGTCCCTCGATTTCTTTGCATATATCAGAGTAAAATTGTTGTTTGTCTCTTCTTGCTCCTTGCTTTATTGCCTTATTCAGGTATTTTAGTTCTTCTTTCTCTTCTTCTGTATGTATGCCTTTCCGGTGGAGAAGTCTTCTGTCTTCGATGATCTGGAATGTCTCGTTCGATAACCAGTGTTTTCGTTTTACTGCTTTTTTGCTAGTTCTTGCTTTTTATACCATCCCCTATATTATATTTTCTCGATTATGTTCACAGGTATATCTCTATTAGCTCTGAGTGCCGTTCAGGGCTATCACGGTTACGTTCTCTTCGTCTGGCTGTACGGAATATGCCTGGGCGGCTTCACGTACTCCCTGAAGATGTTCGCCTTGGAACGAATTCGAAACAAGCACTTCACGAAAGCGTGGAGCTTCATACAGGGCGCCAAATCCATACCGGTACTTCTGGGTATACCCATTACGGGGTACATCAATCAGACCTATCCCAAGGCTGGGTACTACTTTAGTTTCTGCACTGCTCTCATAGGTAAGTTAATTTATTTAGGTAACAACCGTACAATAAAAAATACGGCGTCAAGGACGGCTGGAAAATGAAAATCGATGATAATTTTGGAGATTTTCATAAAGATATTATACCTTGTATCTCAAAAGTTAAGATGATTACGACGTACATTCATATGAAGTTTTTTTTCCTAGAATAAGTCCGTGCACCTGAAAAATGTAAAATAATATTTCTATATACAAACGAAATTTTATTTTATTATACTTATTCTTCGTTTTAAATATAATGTATAATTAATTACTTTTATATGTAGCTCAATAATTGAAATAATTAATATTTATTTATTGAAATATTCGAAATCATAATTTCGCAGTACACGATTCACATTTTATATTTTTTACCTATATTACTAGGAATTATATTTGGTAAAACGCTACTTTATTTTGTGTAGGACAAACACAATATTAAACGTAAATAATTTACGTGACCCTAATTAATAATAACTAAATTAAAATCGACCCGAACCAAAACCGGGGTTGAGCAATAAATTTTTGGTGACACTGGAAGAATTAGTTATACGTAGAGTAGTTATTTATGAGCTTTGGCCTATAATTATTTACATAGAACACTGCAAATATTTGTTTTTCTATAAACTTGCTTATTTTATAGTTATGACAATGGGAATAATCATAAAAAATATTTATCTAACAGCGCTTAAGAGTCCATTTCACTAGCCCACAAAAGTAGCAAAATAAGCGTTCGGCATTTAACGTTTTATGTAAAACTGGTTAGGTATTTTTACACAAATGAAGAAGGAAATTAAAGATAAAGGATTATACTATATCCGTATTGTAGCACATTTTTAGACAACTTCTTTATTTTTAAGATTTTGATGGTCAAACATCAACAACATATTCTTTATGTTTTGACTAAATTTTCTCGAAAATAAAAACTTAATTTAAAGTTCCGTTACAATACGGAAATAGATTGAAGTTTTGTGATTACAGTGATATATAACTTATATAGTTTATGGTTTGGTAACAAATTACTCGCTATTTTATGACAAATGCTGAAGCTCTGCAAATCCTAATCAAGCCTTAATCAAAGCACGTGTGTTTGGAATTTTGGGTGTGGCTTAACACGACAGGATCGGACTAAGCCTTTGGTAGATTTCTGAAATATAATATACAGGGTGTCCCAGAAATAAGTGCAAATATTTTAACTGGTAGTATAGTTCAACCCCAGAAACACGCCTATGAGGTTTTTTTTGCGAAAAAAAAGTGTTGAAAATTTAAAATTTTTCTTGACATTTTCCGGGAAATTTGAAAAAACTTTTTAGTGCCACTTGTTTATTCACCTGAGATTTCCCTATGGTGTATCTAAACCTTGCAGTGTTGTAACCTCCTATGTTATCCACATTCTACATAGTTCGGCGGAACATAGTTCTACATTTATAAATTCATAGACAAATTTCTACTCAAAAAATTAGGAATGTTAAATTTAATCTTTTATCAGTGCGCATTATTAATAATTATAGAAAAAAAAACACATTAATTATTTTTAGTAGTTACCCTCTCAATGAAAACTTAACAAAAACCACCGAAAATTAACTAAAACATTACGTTTACGACGTTTACGAAAATCTTTGTTATGCTGCAAAATAGCTTTATTTTGGAATAAATTTAATAAAATGATTCATATTATTCACAATCAGGTCACAAAAAGAAATTCCTAAAACGTTTATCGTAATTTAGAATTCAATTCAAGAAATTTAGAAAACAGCCCAACGAATAATTGATTCATTTTTGTTTTGTTTGTTTTCTTTCATGTTTCCCTGTTTTATTTGAACCACTGTTTTACAAAACACCTTGAAAAGCGTACATTACTTTGAATACCTTGCTGAATGAATAAATGTTGAGAATTATTGTCTCTTATCGCCACATTACGAATTACTTTCAATCTAAGAAAATACATGTTTCACTCAACAATTATTGACAACGTATTTTGTTTTTTCGCTATTTTTTCGATATATTTCGACAATTCCATCGACAGCCTAACCGGTCGTTCTTCTCTGGCCTAACCGTCAGCCAAGAACCGCCGCGTGTGAATTGGTCCTTTGAGTCGCCGGTCGCCGCGCCGTCGTGGCGGGCTTGCGTCAGACGATGATGTTAAGCAACGTTGCCGTAGTTACAACAATTTCAAATTCAAGACATTCGAAGCAATCAAATTCGTATTAAATTTTAAAAATAAAACAGAGAAACATGAAAGAAAATAAACAAAATAAAAATGAATTGGTTATTCGTCGGGCTGTTTTCGATGTATTGAATTCTGAATTACGATAAACATTTTTAGAAATTTCTTTTTTGTGACCTTATCAATAACAATTCATTTTGTGTTTTGTTTGTTTTCCCTTTCATGTTTTTCTGTTTTATTTTTAAAATTTAATAAGAATTTGATTGCTTCGAGTGTCTTGAATTTGAAATTGTTGAAACTACGGCAACCTCGCATGACGCAAGCTCGACACGGCGCGGCGGCGCGACAAAGGAGCAGTTACCAGTGATGCGCCGCTCTCTTGGCCGGCGGCCGACGCGACGATTGGGCTGTCGATGGAATTGAAATATGTACATAGAAAAAATAGCGAAAAAACAAAATACGTATTTAAAATTGTTGAGTGAAACATGTATTTTCTTAGATTGAAAGTAGTTCGGAAAGTGGCGGTAAGAGACAATAATTCTCAACATTTATTTTTTAAATTTTCAAAGTTAAATAACTCGGTTATTTTCAATTTATTTTAAAAATGGTAAAGAGAAAATATGTTTATTTTGACCAGATCCACCACCCCTTAAAATATCTGCACTCATTTCTGTGACACCCTGTATACTTCCTTCGGCCATACATCCGCTTTACCCGAGCCCTGAGAAGGCCCCGAACAGTACAGCGTAATAGACTCCTTAAGACAGTAAATGAACATTACAAAAACAGATATTTTAAAGTAAATTGTTGTGCATTTTCTATAATTAGAATTGGTACGAAAATAAATAATTGTTATCCGAAAATGGGCAATAAAAATTAAATAATATCAGAGATTAAGAGATTATACCGTGAGAAAATTTGCGGTGAACAGGCAGTTCTAAAAAGTTTTCGAAAAATATACAGGGAAATTTAAAAGAAAATGCACGATTTTTAACATCTTTTTTGCGAAAAAAAATACAGACGTGTTCCTGGGGTCGAAATATACCTCCCCTGAAAATATTTGCACTTATTTAAGACTCACCCGGTATAGTTTTCGTTTTCTTAAATAAACCATCAGTTGTCATATATTTGTGGCTCTTTTTAAATTTTACCTCAGGGACTTTAGGTAGTTTCCATCACAAGTGAACACACGTTCTCAGAAGGGTGTAAACTTTACAAAACAATAGACCCTTCATTCGCGCAAAGTTTCAAAGCCAGCGAGAGTGCTTTTAAGCTCCCTATAATACTCTTCAATCGCTTTAGACCCTTATCGAAAAGCTAACGTCAAGTGGTGTGTAGTTAAAAATTAAGTACAGAAGTTTTATCAACGATGATCCTAAGACAAAAGTTTTCTTATGGAAATACATCCTCACAGGTTACAGATTATCCCGTACCCAGCTGCACAACTTTGCATATTTTAGCCCACGGCCACACAGAAAGTTTTTTTCGATTTGTGTCCATTAAAAACACGCAAAAGACGCGGCAGGTCTGCAGTTTCTATCAAGATGTCAATTAGTAACGTCGCAAGCTCGTGAATTCCCGGCCCGTTCAACAATCAATCCTGTGAGAGAGAGATAGGCGAGATCGGCGCGGTTAGCGTTGACGAGACGAAGATAGAAGATGCTGGGATTGAATTGTGGACGGGCCGGGGCATATATTCGGCGACAAACACAATCTACTGCTAGTGCCAGTGGTGTGTGTAAAAATAATAATTATTATTTGCCATTTATTTTACGAATTTTAGTTTATATGTGTATAGTTTTTTTTATGTTGTAGTGTTGTGGTCACTTGTTATAATTATAATATAATAAATAATCATAATTATATAATAGAATAGTAAATATTACTAGTTGCTAACGCAATTTTAGGACATGATTTATGAAACTTTTTGGAGTGAAACTTCTTTACGCGAGCTGGGAGTAAAAATTCAAGGCCGTGACATACGAGCTAGCGAGACGGCCCTGACACACACGAGCTAGTTGTAACGAAACGTGTTAACGGCTTAGAAATACGTAGTGACGCAACCAAGGGCGTAGATAAGGGGGGGGGGTACTGAGGGACAGTGCCCCCCCCCTGACGCTTGACGAGATACGAGAATTGAAATAGTCATTGACTATGAAAGGATTTTTTTTAATTAATATCCGACATATAAGAACACTTTGTATGCTTTTAATTATGTTGATTTATCGTTTATAATATGTTCGACCTAATTAAAAGCACACAAAGTGTTCTTATTGGCCAGGACAGATTAGTAGGGTTAACTCTAATCAATATCCATAAAGATATTGAAATAAATGTTGATGCTGTTATTGATAGGTAAAACCAAACAGTGTACTAGGAAACGTAGGCCAAACCAAACAGCGTACTAGAAAACTTGATTTTGTTTTGTAGTTTTATTTACAGTTTTTATAGTTTTTTTTTGATAGTTTAGATTTTTTTATTTATAGTTTATAGAAAATTAACTAATAAACGTCGTTGTTTCATTTTTGTGTATGTTATTTACAAATCTATATTTTAATTTTTGTGTTATGTTTTATCTTTTTGAAGACAAAAAAAAAATCGCCGTCGTTTTAATTCGACAAAAAAATTCCGACGGTGATTTTTTTTGCGACTTAATCATAGTACCACCCCCATAGCATACACCTATCTACGCCCCTGGACGCGACGTGTATTTGTGACCAGTCCACGTGTTTATAAAAAATATTGATATTTTAATACAAATTTTGTAAAATTGAATCAAATTATTACGTGTAAAAAACCATTTGTTACACGTAAAAAACTATTTTTATTGTATTACGCGAATAAAACTGTTACACGTAAAAAACTATTTTTCAAAAACTTATTGTTTCTGATAAAAAAAAAATTACCAAAATAAAATATTTTTTACGTGTAAAAAACTATTTGTTACATGTAAAAAAAACTATTTTTTTGACGCATCAAAAACTATTTTTACGCGTAAGAAAATATTCCTTTAATTCCTTTATAATTCCTTTTTCCTAATTAATATTCCTTTTTTTTAATTTATTACTTTTTCAACATTTCAAACTACACTTTTTCAAACATTACCTTCAAATTTTTGAATTTAATAGAATATTCCTAAACAGTAGATGTTTATATATTATACAAGGTGTCCCAGAAATAAGTACAAGTATTTTAACTAGTAGTATAGTTCAACCCCAGAAACACGTCTATGAGGTTTTTTTCGCGAATTTTTTTTTTTTTAAATTCGGAGTTTTTTTAAAAAAAATTTTGGATTTTTTTAGTTTTTAGTTAAAAAACATAATTTCTTGATAATATGACAACATAGGTAGTAGATTAAATTTGCAAGAAAGAAAATCCAGAAAAGATCCAGTGGTTCTAAAAATTTGCGCAAAAAATTTTTTTTTTTCGGAAATTTTCAAAGTAAAATAACTTCGTTATTTTGGACTTATTTGAAAAACGATAAAGAGAAAATATGTTTCTTTTATCGAGATCTACCACCCCTTAAAATACTTGCACTTATTTCTGGGACACCCTGTATAAAAAATATTTTTAGATAATACTAAAAAAAAATGCATACTATTTAATTTATTTTGAAAATATAACGTCCGCCTATAACGGGGTCTCATCTTAGAAATACCTAAAGACGCTACAGAAAACAAACTGATTTGTTTCCATTTGCGTTTTTTGCGAGACACGCCGAACGCTACACGCTTTTGATGGGGCCACTCCTATATAATCCTGTTATTTTGTTTTAGTCGCTAAAGACGTTTCACGCTAAAAACGCTTTCTGTTTGGCCGTGGGCTAAGAGAGTTTACACCAATTCATTTAATTAGACACCTTGAATTCTGAATAAGGCATTAGGGATATTAAATTTTCAGGTGCCAGTTTGATGTTCCTGGTCGGTACTAGAAAAGAACATGTCAACGTCAGCTTGCAAGCCAGTCCCGCTGTTGCCAACAATTGTACCGCGATGCCAACAAACAACCTGCAGGAGTGCGTCTGCAATTTGGCCACCTACAACGGCATATGCGTGGCAGCTCCAGAAATCCTGCCCTACAATTTTTGCCGGCAGGGCAGCAACCATTACGAGAGGATATTCACCAACTGCGAGGATTACCATAACAAAACGCAAGTGAATAATTTTCACAGGTGAGTGTAATTAAAGATTCGTATACGCTAAAGAAATCGAAAAAAATACTTTTAACACTCATACGCCGCGGAAGCTCCAAGTAGAACGACAGTTTTCATTGAAATGAAATTTTGTGAGCATGTGTAGGTTAATTCAGAGCACTTTTTAAAAATATAGAGAGTTCTACAGGGTGTCCCCAAAAAAAGTTACATATCAAAGTTGTGTTTTTTGTAATGGAACACCCTATATATTAATTGATTTTCGGATTCTGGGAGAAAAATAAAGGTGAGTTTTATAAGAGAAGTATATGACTAAAATGTAAGGTTTTTGACATATTTAACATTTTCTAAAAATAAAGAACAATATTTTTAAATTACCAATAACAGCTACCTAAATTGGAATTTACCCGGTATAGCGTAATATATAGTTAAATTAACTATTATTGTACTTTAAATCAAATTAAAACTTGATCCAAAATGTTATACAGGGTGATCCAAAATTAATATTGAACATTGGTAACCTTTAAAAGAATATTACTCTTCTATTTTAAATGGAACACCCAGTATATTATTCCGATATTCAATGGAGAATGCATGTCTCTTCAAAACACTATTAAGGTTGCCTACCACTCAAACAAAGATTTTCCTAGATATTTTCATTTAACGATTTTATCTGAGTAGATCTTTATTATTTGACAAAATCTAGGTGGCTGGTGATACGTCTGACGTTACTTCAACATACCTGTCTAATTAGTACAACTTTAACAACTAGTTATCATTTTGTGTCAGTTAAAACAAAAAAAATCTCAGAAATTTGCCGAAAATGATGCAAACTTATTCTACATCAGAGAGAATTGATATGATTCTATTAGTTGGTGAATGCACACTGCACTAATTAATAGAATATTTATATGCTCCTGATTTTATCTAGTCTGTTTTTTTATGGGAATATGTTAAAGACAGTGTTTACAAAACTCGACCAACTATTGTCGACAACATGAGAGAAATTATTGTAGCTGCTTTTCGAGGCAGAATTCCACATATGCTTTTAAAAATGATCAGATCATTTTGAAAAGACAATAATTTTATACAGTTAACAGGAAAGGAAGCATTTTGGGCATTTGATTTCATCTAACTAATTTTTGTCACATAATTATAGGTTTATATCTAATTAAAGTTTAGTTTATCTAATTAATTAAGTAATTATAGGTTTATATCTAATTCTATAATAATTAAAATATATTTTAACGTATATCTTTTTATTACCGTTGAGTATTTTACTCTACAATCTTTAATTTTTGTTAAATTAACAAAAGGTATATCACACAGCAACCTAGATTTTTTCAAATAATAAAGATCTACTGACACAATATCAAAAAAATTAAAATATCTAGGAAAATCTTTGTCTGAGGGGTAGGCAACCTTAATGATATTTTGAAGATATATAAATTCCCCATTGAACACCGCAAAAATATACTGGGTGTTCCATTTAAAATAAAGGAGTTACTTGCTTTTAAAAGTGACTAATGTTCCAAATTAATTTTGTCTCACCCTGTATATCTTTTCAGATCAAATTTCAATTTGGTTTAACATACAATGGTTACTGTAATTAAATACCAGGCGACTATACAAGATCAACTAAAATTTAGGTAGCTGTTATCGAAATTTAAAATTTACTCTTTATTTTCACAAAATGTGAAATATGTCAAAATCCTTAGATTTTAGGTATATGCTTCTTTAATAAAACTCACCTTTATTTTTTTCCTAGAATCCGAAAATCAATTAATATATAGAGTGTTCCATTAGAAAAAGCCCAACTTTGATATGTAACTTATTTGGGGAACACCCTGTATAATTATATATATTTTTATAAAATGCTTTCAGTTAACCTACATATGCTGCCAAAATTCCATTTCGATATAAACTAGCGTTCTCCTTGGAGCTTCCGCGGCGTATGAGAGGCGCCACCCTGTACAGTTCATACCAAATAAACTTTTAGTCACGTGATTACGCTTGATTTGCACAGCGTTGCCCACTTTTATATATTGTCTTTTAATCAAAATACTTTAGGAAAATCTGTGCTGATAAAGATTTATTTGTTACAGACACTCCTATCGTCAAAAACCGGAACCAATCATCCAATACCTACCCAAGAGCCAAAGTTACGCGGCCAACATCGACCATTCGGCATACCACACGCCCAAACACCACGCGCACAACCACCATGACGTGGCCAGGTTCTCATCGTTACCCAGGCCACACCACCGGGGTATCCTGAGACCCAGCAAGAGCTTCCCGGAAGGACTAGCCAGGTGGGAGTACTGCGGCTCGTACAGGAGACCCATGCTGAGGAACGTACAGGTGATTGAACAGATTACCACCTCAGTTTAAGTTTGTCCTTTAATATCAACTGTCAATACTAAAGTAACATAAGAAATTATGTAGAAAATGATGCTTAACAGCCGCTAAAAATCTGTAGATTATTGTTTTACCAAATAGATAGATTACGATAAGTCCCAAGTCTAGTTCGTATCATTGTAAATTTCAAATTTTGTCAGATATTTACCCAAACAAAATCCTCTTATCAGTGAAGTTACATAAAAATAAGTCAGATTTTTATAATTGATTATATTTACAGATTATATAAAATAAAATGATATATACAATTTCTGAGACATTATATACACACATGGCCAAAATTATTGCATAGAACGATATTTTTATTTTATTTTGGACCTAATCTAAGTGCAACTAGGCTGTTATTATAAACAATACAACACAACAAAAACAAATTTCATTTTAAACAGAAAATATTGAAAACAATTTTAATTATTTCTCACAACTAATAGTCTGTATTGCCTCCTCGAGCTCGAGCCTCAATGCAAGCCGTGAGACGACGTGGCATGCTCTCAATTAAGTTGTCGAGAAGATGTTGAGGAATGACTTCCCATATTTCGCGCGCAGCAATTTTCAATTGATTTAAGGTTCGGGGGGGGGTCAGTCCTTTTGGCAATATGGCGTTTTAGCATGTCCCAAGCATGCTCGATCACATTCATATCTGGAGACGTCGGTGGCCACCACAGTTTTCTTATACCCTCTTCCTCACAAAATTCGCGAACCGCTAAAGTGCGATGAGGAGGAGCATTATCGTCCATGTAAACAAATTAATCCCCATTGCCCCTCGAAATGGACGCACAATAGGCTCTAAAACGTCTCTGAGATATGAGGCACCTGTCATTGTGCCATCAATAAAAACAAGAGGAGTTTGAGCTCCGTGCATTATACCTGCCCATACCATAATGCTTCCCCCTTGAAACGGGGCACGGGACTGAGCTTCATTCAAGCGTGCTCGTCTTCCAGATGCTCTCCAGACCAAAGTTCGTCGCGAGTATGACACTAGGCCTATTTTTGTTTCATCACTAAAAATGACGAAATTCCAATTAGGTCCATTTGCTCTCATCTCCTCAGCCCATTGTAGTCGCGTAATTTTGTGCTGTAAATTAAGCTTCGGAACACGTAGAGGCCTGAAACATTTACTCCTTCAAGGCGAGCTAACTCATTTTTAGTAGCAGTACTAGAAAGCAGGAGACTGCGTCGTGCAATTAGGGATATTTGACGGTCTTGCACAGCAGTAGTAACTCTCTTTCTACCTCTTCCAGGCCGGTCGTAACCTCGTTTGTCTCCCTGAATTTTTTTTAATATTCGCAAAACATCGCTTTGGTTAACTCCTACAATTTCAACTATTGCAACTTGCCGGTAGTCCTGTTGAGACAGTATTACTATTATAACTCTATTAAACTGTGAAATAATGTTTCTAAGACATTTTAAGACCAAAACAATGGTCAAATTTCTTCTGAAACCAAAGAGACCACAAATCGAAATGTGCAAGAATTTGTAATAATATTGGGTCTAAACGCTAAACATTGTTTACCATATCCATTTTAACAAAAAAATGTTTATTACAGATTATCAAAGCTATGTCATGTTTAAAAAAAGATTCTTTAAATTCCTTTCCATATATTTTTAAACGATATACAGATTGTTAACTGGATGGTTACTTAATGGGGAATAGAATGGCAACACTGCCTACATTTCAAATGAGTACTAAGCTAAGCTGCCGACTCGTCCCGTCGCGTCGTCTCTCGGACGAGCGGGCCGAGGTTGCCATATCTCAACCATAAAGCTCTTGCCGCGAGTAATAAACAAATTTACAACCGGTATGCAATAATTTTGACCATGTGTGTATATAGGATATTATATGGTATATTAGATCTGCATTTGAAGGTAATATCACAGATTATACAGATTATAAACTTTGTTTTTTCTTTATTGTTTTTCGTGGTTCCAAATTTCGGAATCGGGCTAGTAAGGTTACTAATTTGCGCACATAGCACGCCCACTTATGGCCTCTAAAATTGTGCACAGCGCCTGACCGGCACAGTTATTAGAGATATCGGAAAACCGAATAGCGTCATGCAGTATTTACGCGTACCTTATCATGGTTACGATATGCGCGAGTCAATTTTTAACGCAACACCCGCTAATAACGTTCCCGCCTGACGTAATTTGTAAATCAATTACACCAAGCGCTATTTCTAAATAACGTTTAAAAATTGCTTAAATGGGCATGTGCGGATATTTGACAACCGGGGCCGGCCGACGAGATCTTTTATTTTAGGTTATGTTAGAATTGTTTTGAATTATTACTTTAGTTTTATTAGGTAATTTGATATTTAAGTAGCTGGGATTAATTTTAATTAAATAAATATGACCCAAAATGACGACTTAGCCCTTCTAAGAGAATTTGTTTCTTGTTGCCCTAAACCCACTGGCAGACGTTGAACAATAAAGTACTGGAAATAAGCACTTTAGCCGTTTAGTTTTAAAATACCTAGTAAACAAAACAATTTCCAAGTTTTAAATTCAAAGTTAGGTTAAGTATAAATAGCGGACGCGACGCGAACAGAATTCTTTCCGATCCGATAATTATAAATGTAAATGAAGAGAGTTAATATCACCTTACGTAAAGGAAATAACACTTGGCCTTATTGGCGTCCATGCATGCTATTCGGTTTAGCGATATCTCTCTATTACGCTGTTTATTGTTATTTTACGCGAGTTTATTTTTGCGCACAGGAAATTTTACTCGTTTGCACATCACCATAAAAAACAATTTTCATACCACCAATTAGGGACAAGATTTTTGTCTGTATGCTTATAGGATACCTAATCTGTGGTAATATAATGAATGTAAAAATAAATAACCAAGCAAACCTAACTAAACATAACAAAACCTAGTATAGTAGAAGAAAAGATTGCCGTTCAGAACATCGATAATCCATCTGAAAATATTTGAACGACCACCGCCATCACGACTAAAATTAAAATTCATAATTAACAATGATACGAGCTCGACTTTAAATACAACGCATCTTTATTACCAGGCGTGTCCATAAACTTGTTTTCTTTTTATTTTCAGTTTCTGGATACACCTCGTATCAAAGTGTCGGGGTTTCAGCAGAAACCAAAGTGTTCATTAATTAAAATTTAAGTGAGAAAGCCAACTGAAAGAAAACAAACGCTTAGCTATTCGCTTAGGATTTAGGTGCTAAATCTAGTCACACAAATATGCAATGACTAAAGAATATAAAGACGTGTAACGCCCATATACGGGCTGCAACAGAATTTGTGACCTTAGACGCCATTCTTTTGATGGCAAACAAATTTTTCTGATATTATATGTACTTGATGTGTGCTATACGCTATACGTCGATACTAGTTTTGTACCTTTTGTTAACATTTTTAATACGTTGTTTTCGTAATTAATTAGTATGATACCAACGTATACACCATAGGCGTAGTCAAAACATTTATCAAAAAATACAAATATCTCTTCAAACAGCTAGGTTAAGAAAAGTATGTGCCACGGCACTGTTTGGTGACATCGTCACAATTTGCTCTCGGGTGTTATTTGTCCTTGGATTCTTTAGTCATTGCAAATATGAATTTTAGATAGTATTTATTTGTCGAAACGACTGTAGATTAAGATATTGTCCTAGAAATTAGCATTATTAAGAACTATCATGATAATATATAAGGTGCAACCTCAGCGTAATCAATAATAATAAATACAGGGTGGTCCGAACTAGGGAATGCAATCCCGCACCAAAATATCAATCCCGCAACCCCGCGGGATTAAAGCAATCAATCCCGCGGATCCGCAAAATTGCGGGATTGTAAACAATAGTCATACATTGGGTCCTAAATGGTACAAAAGGCATTGTACATTTTGGATAGGCCCACAATATATTGATATAGCGTGTATCTTAAACTAGCCGTACAGAAATTTGGACACCGAGGTATACAGGGTGTTCAAAAAATATATTTAATATTAAATAAACTTAAATTTTATTATAATTTATCTATTTATTTTATAAATAAAAATATTATTCTGATTGAAGTTTTTTTAACTTGTGTTAGTTATCTGCTTTTAGATACACTCTATAGTCTGTCCAACGAAAAGATCCTTGACAGTGATAGATGTGTCTGTCATTTTAATTTCAAAGTAGTTTATTTTATTTTACAAAGAAATAAGTTGGTACAACTGGAACGCATAGCAGGAAATATTTAAAATTTGATTGACAAGATGACAAGTGACTTCAAAATATTGTGAAAAAAACTGCATAAAACTGAAAAAATGTAATCGAGTTATTTTATTTAATAAAAACGGTATGTGTTAATACAAAACAAACAAGAACAAGACACTACATACCAAAAAAATATAAAAAAGAACTATTATTTACTTTCAAGCTTTATGAAACTACCCGCATTTATGATTATATTTATCAATATAACTTATGTACAAATACAAATTTGTAATATTCCACAGGAATAAATAAAACAACATAGGTAAATAAAACAAACTATTTTATTAATAATAACACCTACCAAATTTTATACCTTAAAGGTTGATTAATTAACTTTAATCTTAATTTTTTTAAACCAGTACCTTTTGACATTATTTTTCTGCAGCACTAAAATACATTATTTACCAATCGTGTGATGTCGATATTTTACAGCTACTCCAGTTTTTAGTATGTGTTTAGTTTGATCCTTCTACCATATACGAGATGCACTTATCTACGACGAAATGGTATACAAACTTTATCGATGGCAACTTCATTGGTGTATAAGACTTTCTGCCTGGGCAGCGAATATTAACCATAAACTGTGCTCTGGGTCTACAGTTAATTTTCACTCAATTTTTCCTCCACTTGACTTTAAAAGACACAAAACACACGTAATAATACGAATCAAAATGCATCATCTTCCAAAACGCAGGATATTTAACAAAAGTTGACACAAAATTATAACCTATAATTTGGCAAGACTTTGACAAGCGTCAAAAATGACAAAAATCTAAAGGCGAGTTCATACGCATCGGCGTCCGTTTGTCGTTCATCGTTCCGTCAAACCAATAAAATTGAAATACGATCTGTCATTTTTTAAATAAACCAATAAAACTGGTTAAAAACAACAAGACACGACGCATGACGGATTTATATTTAAACCCATCCATAGATAACTTAAAAATTATTAGAAACTTTTTTTAGTAAAATAAATAGATTGGTATGGGACGTCATCTGCTTTTCTTCTGTCATCGTCTGTCGAAATCTTACC